TTTCGTTCAAGCTTGAATCGTAAAATATTTGAAGTCAAGAGGATGAGTTTGTGGTCGCGTTATACAATATTTAGTAATCATTCTACCAAATATCTATTAAATAAAAATTCAATAAACGCAGCAATATATAAAATAAGTGAAAATAATAATATTTTTTGCTTTTGTGTAGCGTTCTACTTTAACAAAACTACTATAACAAATATATGACACAATCACGGCCACAAATTATTTCCTTTGTTTTTTTATTATAAATTTCAATAACAGTTGAGTCCAAATCAGCCAATAAACGAGCGCAGTTCGCAATGACGTCATTTGAATGTGTTCCACAATTTATTCCCATCGGCCGATATACCGACCCCAGCTTGAATCGTGAAATTTATAAATATCTGAAGTCGGTAGAACGAGTTTCTGGTCGCGTTATACGATATTTAGTCATCAATTTCCCGTGCAGCTATTCAGTATTACTAAAAACACAGAAACCCGAAAACATTCACCAAACTCTCAACCATGATTAAAAACTTGAACATAACTTATTTCGCAATTATGCCACAAATGTAAATACGTTTTTTTTTCAGCCCTACTTCTATTAAATTAAACAAAGAACAAAATCTAATCTATTTTCGCAAATGTTGTCACTCAATCATTTCCCATTTGCTGAAAATGATCAGTGTTTTTCAATGTACTATACGTGAATAATTTAGTATATTTATTGATTTTTAAATTATTTATTTTCATTTCCATTGCTAACTTAAGTACCTACATTCAAAACGGAGGTTGTCGAATTAAGGAAATTGGTGTCATTTAGGAGATTTCCTTAAGAGATAGTACCAACTGATATGGCAAGTGAACCCGCCACGCGAAGAGAATACTGTCGAGAACAAGACCGTAATGGATCCAGAGGATGACACGACTCGTAAATTATGGTTGCATGAGTGCGCCCTCAACTTAGTTCATGTCCCGGACATGGACAAATGGGAAAATGTGTGACGCGACTGGAACTCAATAAATTATCGGTTTGACAATGAAAAATAAAAGAAATTTTGCAGAAAAGTTCGCTAAAAAATATTATGGAATCGTTTGTTTTTGAATCGAATTGTTTTATGAATAAACAATTCGACGAGGAATTGCACAATCAAAGTCGAAGTCCCATAATGCCAAAATCTCCCCGTGTTGAAAAAAAAACAAAAAAAAACAAAAAAAAAAACAGAATCGCGAGACGTTTTTACAGAAATTTGTGGAGTTTAGGATTACGTTTGTCTCGATGAGCATAATTCAACGTGACAGTTTTATTACATGGTTTTATTATGCTATCAGTTTAATATTTACTAAGCATAAAACTGTCGGAATATTCATGTGACGCTTGTTTGTCTTCTTTACATTGTATCGATACCGCAATTTCAATATCGTCTAATTAGCGAACATTCCACCCATGTACGAAAATTTGGAATTTCGGCATACTTATCATATTTTTGTAGTCACGTGATATTGGGAATGCCACCGCCATGACGTAATGTCTTAGGGCCAAGCACATGGCACCCATCATGCTTTGCGCTAACAAAATGTCGAACGCCAGGAAGGGGAACTGATTTCAAAAATTCTGAAAAAACATCCGTTGTCATCTTGGTAAGTAGGTCGTTATTTTTCACATTTGAATCAACTCGCCAATATGGAATATATTCATCATCATATATTTGATGTTTGAAGACAGATCCTCCATTTTGAACGGAATTATAGGCCACAAAGCGATGGGTTGTCGTGTTGACCTCGTCAATGAATCAGCGAGGTATGAACTCTTGGCGATGATGCATTTACCCGCCCTCAGTTGTGCATCATACATAGACGCTTAGCGCATGATCCGCGTTCTGTGCTATATACTCTTTTAGTACAAAGACACCTTACTTATAGTTTCTCGACCTTGGATTTGACTTGTTTTCTTTGCTGTATTTCAGTACTAGACCGTGGCATGCGATATACATGTCTAGAATCGACGACAGCCAGCAGCAGTATGCACGAAGTTGCGTGGAATGACTCAACTCAGCAACACGCCATGCAGAGCACGGGCAGTCAACATCCACATCACCCCCAGTCCACCCTCAATCACCACCCACACCGATCACAAGACGATGCGATGGTAGGCTATTTCTTCCAGAGGCAACACAGCGAAGGAGAGACTGGGGGACATTACGGCAAACTGAAATGGGCTGTGGGCGACGATAGCGTTATTGATCACCAGGTAAAATAATCCCCATTTCACGCTTCCAACATACTGTAACATTGGTGCGATGTTTTGCAACATTTGAAACGCTTTTCACCGGGCGTGGTCGTAATTTCCCCGACTGTATGCAATCAAATCGCATGCAGTGGATGCAGGAACTGCTTTGGACCCGTCCTTTGTTTATTTTGGTTGACATTTTGCGAGCAGGAAGGTAAACGGACCCACGTTTGTTGTTGGCGTGTTCGAATCGACTGACAACAATGGGCTTGCGGACGGGGTGATGTTATTGTTAATTTCCAATGCACTCTCAAACATGTGAGTCATTGCGACCGTGACTCATAACAAAAATTACGCCAAATATTACTGTCGTAGCTGACAAAGACAATTTTTTGTGTCATTGTTTTGTTAACTTCCAATCTCAATGACGTGCGTGTATTACTTGATCAGAAACAATGGCCGTCTTGCTTGTATATAGAAATAGACCAACTAATTGAAAGGGTGTTTCCATGTTTATGATGGCAATTTAAATCGTGTCTTTTATGTCAAATCAAATTATTTAGGTAAATCTTTTTGTTCAGGATGTCCCTGGCCTTGTTTTACTAGGCTTGAAACAGTATGATTTTTAGGTCAGCTCGAATGGACCTTCAGTCACTGTGAAACTAGCCAGACATTAGTTTGAAACTGACTCCTTTTGTTGATTTTAACCTCGGGTGTTTACTGATTTGTAAAATAAAATTTACAGTAGTTATTAGTAATATTTATTCTCTCATCAGATATTATTGAAATATAACACATTATTTATTAGTCTTTGATGCTAACCTTGTAAAAAAGTTCAAGGATTTGATCTCTGCACAGTTGGCCTTATATGTTAATGAGGACAGGCAGTGAACAAAGGAAACAGTGAGTTGAAAGACAAAGGAGTACTACTGTACTAACAACAGTTTGGGGTTCATACTGCCGAAAATATGTCAGCACTTCAGACGGTGATGAAATATGCCTTTTATGTCTGGGAGGAAAACTCGGTAGTTTACTAAAACCGAAGCAATCTAAAAAAGAAATTGGAACAAAGAAAGCTCTTGTAAATTCAGCCTTTGAGTTCAGAGATAGGGGGTCCCCCAGCATTAGTTATTCCACCTGCTTTTGAAAGAGTTTCACTTCTAGGATGTATGACGCATGCCAAAAACACATTATATATTTATTTTCATCTTCAAGATTTGTTGCCCGTTGTAAAATTAGATCAATAAATCTTTCCCCGGTCAATAAAGTAATTATTACTAATTTCATGATGGAATAATTAAATATACAATGAAAAATAACAATTAAGTCGAAAAACTAAATATAGAGAGGCTAAATTCAAATATGTTGCCTTGAGGAAGTATTTGATAGATGGGCATGTTTCTTGTATTTAATTTATGTAATACATGTTCAAGAACAAACACAGTAATAAAATTTATATATATTCAGCTGCTAGAGTGCTGAAGTAGCTAGCTGTAATGTATGTGCAACGGGCGGCCATGTCTGGATGGCAAATTTACAAATACATCTGTCACATTGTTTTAGTATCTACTTAGACCATTTGTAGGTTTTCACACTAATTCAGAAAAATTAGTTTGTTGATCGTTTCTGCATTTGTTGAACACATTTTATTTGTACATGCACTCGTAGTTATTGTGATTGTTTTGTTGGGTTTAAAATGCTTGGTGCACTAAGCTGTGTACGTTGTTTTTTCAGTCTGTACATGTAGGCCTGAATCTGGATGTTTCTGCCGAGGATGTAAAAAAAATCCTCAATCGCACTCGATCCCTGCTCAAACAATGGGGAAATGCGTTTGGAGGCACCTAAAAATTACAGACTTCATAAAATAGTTCCCGACTGTATTTTAACCAGATTGGCATTGCCTTGTTCTGTTCCTGCTGGAATTTAGTCTTTGTTGAAATCCCAATTTTCATCAGAATTATGGCCAATAATATTTAATAATTTATTAATAACTTTAATTTTTAGAGTTTTTTAGTATGATGCATTCATAGTTTTTAATACTGAATTAACCTATGTAGAGGAAATGTACGAGTTACAACTCCGCTGTTAATATTTTTAAAAATATCCTGTTGCTTGTTGTCGTTTCCTGGTCAATTTGTCCCATGTCTGTGTTAATTTGTGTCACAGGAAAGCTGCCTTCAGGTCACTGACAAAGGTCAATCACAGAGGGCACATATTACAAAAGATTAGACAAACATATGAATGTCGTATTATTTGTTGAACGACTACGGGTTCACAAAGGCTGAATGACGGCATGCCGTGGCAGGACTGCCCCCTCGCTAATAGCAGTGCTACGAAAAAAAGGGGCATGTAATAACAAGTCATTTAACAGCTTATGATGGCTGCGGTGATAACACAGCTCTATATAGTTCCGCTGAAAAACCACCGAATAGATCTCGTGAGTACCAGAGTTTATCGAGGTGGGGAAAAAAATGATAAAATTATTGGCACGTTTTTCGGGCACTTCCTTTGTTCTGGATAGGTTACCCACAATGCATAGCTTTCAATGTCGCCTGAACTGATCAATGTAGTTTATGACTCCTCTATTGCACGTTTCAGAGGGAACCAGAAAACAAATTGAAATCTTTTCTTTGTGAGTTGAGTTTTACATCGATTTTAAAAATGGTAGAAGTTTTAAAATTATCATGATTTG